GTTAAGACGTTCTTACTGTTGAGTTTCAGTCTTATTTTTGGGACTCTCAGAAAATACTGAACCAGAGAGGTCCTTGAGTATGATGGGGCTTTCTAGCTTAGCCGGGCTTAATTAACTCAAGAGCTGCGGTGCCCTAGCTCACACCCACAAGAAACTTCCGTGAAGCCGGATGCTCTAGGTTCTTATCTCGTGAACTGGAAGAATAAATTTCTCAGACCGCAGAGAGGATGAGTTCTTTGGAAGATAATTTAGAACAGGTTCACAGGTGTGAACTCAATTGAAATCGAGCAGAGCTCCTGTGTGATAGGATCGGGTTCCAGGGAGGGGGCGCCATTTGACTTACGGCTTGGGGACTTTTTATAGAATGTATGGAGAAACGTGGCTGAGGCATGGGAGCTGAGCTGTGAGTCCAGGTGGCCCACTCACGAGGTGTTCATGTGCCTCTCCATCCCAGGTGTATGATTGACATTCCTGCCACACCCTCGTGTATGGCTTCCGTGGTCTTGTAAAAGAAAACAACATAACAAGAAACTAGATCGAGAGCCGGAGACCATACGAAGTTTGCATTTCCGGCCTTGATGATTTAGTGCATATGATCGTTTCTGCCCTTTGCTCTAAGGTGCATAAAGACTCTGAGATCTCCGTTCTGTGCATCTCAAGACAGACCAGCCATTCAGGAGCAATGGAAACCAGACAGTTACTTAAGAACAGGCATTTGGAGCCGGGGTGGCAGTGGTGGTGGTGGAGGTGGTGGTGGTGGTGGTGGAGCCGGGGTGGCGGTGGTGGTGGTGGAGGTGGTGGTGGTGGTGGTGGAGCCGGGGTGGCGGTGGTGGTGGTGGTGCACGCCTTTTTAAAAAAACCCACATGATTGGACTTTACTCTGAAAGTTCAGGTTTTACAGAATCTTTGCCATACATACTGTAGTTCAACTGCTTTCACTCAGTACCCTGCTCCCGACAGATCTGGCTTTAATGTAGGCCTTACACAGAATAAGGACTCCTAAAGCTGCTTCAGTAAGGATGTGGTTCTCCCGCCACTTGAGAAGTGTATTAAATATCAGTTCAACGAGAAACGGACATCTCAAACATTTCTTCATTTTTACTAGTTTGGTCTTCCAAAGTACGGCTTTCGAAACTGCATCATTGCAGATGTGATGAGGTACCTACAGTCATTTAATGCAGAAGAGAAAACAGACAATTATATGGGGGAATTCTGTAGTTTCTATTGGGAATTAGACGCTGCTAATCAAACCAAGGCACTAGACTGTTTCGGACTGACTGAGGCACATGGTTAAGTGACAAACCTTTTCCATTGACCGACCTCAGGGGCTTGTGATTTTAGCAACACATCCACTAAGTAGACTCCCAGCCTGTAGCCACATTCCAGCCCTATCTCCACTGGAGACATCTGACAGAGCCAGAGCTAAAGAGAAACGCTTAGAAAAGAGGAATTTATTTCTTTTTTGCTATAATTCAACCCCAGGGCTTTTCATTTAAATTGTGGTTCTTGGGAGTAAACAGAAAGCTTCCTTCAATCCCGATAATACTTCCTTGGCTTGCTACAGATGAGAGAAATTTGCCTTAAAGCAATGAGTTGATTTAAAAAATCATTTATGTTAGTAAAATCATTGGGCCAGGCATGCCTTTAATCCCAACACCTGGGAAACAGAGGCAGGCGGATCTCTGTGAGTTTAAGGACAGCCACAGCTACACAGTGGGACCTTTTCTGAAAGAAAAAAAAAGGAAAGAAAAAAACAAAAAAACATTTATTAGATTAGAGGACCGCTTGTGGGTTGGAGGAATCAAACCCAGGTCCTCAGGATGCATGGCTGAGCCATCCCAATGGCAGCAATGAATCGGTTTCAATTTAGGTTCGCTTTTGATGTTTGCTTTTTGTTTGTTTGTCTGTTTTCTGAGATAGGGTTTCTCTGTGTATTCCTGACTGTCTTGACATTTACTCTGTAGACCAGGCTGTCCTTGAACTCACAGAGATCCTCCTGTCTCTGCCTCCTGAGTGCTGTGATTAAAGTTGTGTGCCACCACTGCAGAGCTGGTTTTGTTGTTGTTATTGTTAATGTTTGCTTTTTGTTCTGAGACAGTCTGAATTTAAGTGCCAGGCTGGTTTCAAACTCTTTTTTTTTAAATTTATTTTTATTTTTTATGTGCGTTAGTATATTGCCACAGAACCGGAGTTACAGAGAATAGTGAGCTGCTGTGTGGGTGCTGGGAATCGAACCTGGGTCCCCTGGAAGAACATTTAGTGCTCTTAACCGTTGAGCCATCTCTCCAGTCCCTGGTTTCAAACTCCTGATCTTTCTGCCTTATTCTGTCAAAAATACTGGGATTTTCCATTTATTCTTAAGGGGCTGATTGAAGTTGTTGTTAAAGGAGAGATGTGTGAGTTTCTGGTGTCTGTAATGTCTTAGGACCATTAAAGGCTGACTTTGGAGGTATTTGAAATCATACTGATTAATAAATGGCTGACTTCTTTCCTACGGGGGGACTTGTGGCCATTGTCTTTCCCTCCGGTGTTATCTAGAAGTTCATTTACCTAGACCTATGCCAAAGGATGCCTATCAGAAACCAAAAGATAAGAATATTAAAAGAACACCCCTTTTCTTCCAAGTGTATACTGTATACTTTAGCTGCTCAATGTTATCTCGTGTAATGGCCCTTAAAGACAAGTAAACTTATCACCAGCATTGGAAAATGAGGTTGTTTCTGTCCAAGATACAGATTTCTATTTTTTAATATTCAACTCAGGAACTATAGCCAGTGTGTTAAACAGTGGTTAAGTGCTTGCCTAGCACACAGGAAGTCCTGGCTAGAGTCTCGTAAAAACATAAACCTACTGTAGGGGTGCACACTGTAACCCCAATGCTTAGGAAGTAGATCCAGGAGGCTTAGGAGTTCAAGGTTATTTTATATATATATTTGTTGTTGTTTGTTTGTTTTTCCAGCTGGGGTTCTCTGTGGCTTTGGAGGCTGTCCTGGAACTCACTCTGTAGACCAGGCTCGTCTGGAACTCACAGAGATCTGCCTGCCTCTGCCTCCCGAGTGCTGGGATTAAAGGTGTGCGCCATCAACGCCTGCCTGGTCCTACACTGGCGTTTTGCCTGCATGTATGTCTGTGTGAGGGTGTTAGATCACTTGGAACTGGAGTTACAGAGTTTTGAGCTGCCATGTGGATGCTGGGAATTGAACCTGGATCCTCTGGAAAATCAGCCACTGCTACTAACTTCTATGCCATCTCTCTACCTCTCAGTAACATAGTTTTAGGCTAGCCTGGGCTACATGAGAGTTGTCTCAAAAATGGGTGAATTTCTCCCAAAGGAGCAAAGTCAAAAACTATTAGAGAAACTGGTAACTTGGGGGCTTACTGTTTCCCTGGACAATAATGGGCAGAGGCTTAATAGAGCCAAATTTTATAGAAGAGCAATGTTGTTTTTCTTAAATATGACCCATGTTGCCAGGCGTTGGTGGCGCACGCCTTTAATCCCAGCACTCGGGAGGCAGAGGCAGGTGGATCTCTGTGAGTTCGAGGCCAGCCTGGTCTACAAAGCAAGTTCCAGGACAGCTTCCAAGATAATACAGAGAAACCCTGTCTTGAAAAACCAAAAAAAAAAAAAAAAAATTGACCCATGTTAACTAATTCATGTTGCCAGCTGAGGCCTTATAGAGTTGGAGAGTCCTGTCTGAGGATGAAATCTGGTAGAGTGAGGTAGGACTGTAAATGCAGTCAAGATGTTTGGTGCTGTTGTCAGAGAGATAGAATGACCCTTGAACTTCATGGGGAGGAACCTAGACTTTGGATCACCCAGATCTGGCTGCGATCCTTGTTTGCCCTTTACTGTGTCTTGGAATGTAGGAGGAATTGCGTAAATGGCCTTGAGCTCCGGATGAAGATCCTCTAATTAAGAAATCCCCTCGCTACTTTGCATCCCACCCCTGATACTTTTAGTAAATTGTTTGTGGGACATTTTTCCAAAATTCTAATATGTTAGCTATATTATCAACTTGCTGTAATCAGTTAAGTAGCTCAACATTGTTTTCTTAGCCCCTAGCTTTGTGCATGCGAGCCAAGTGGAATTCTTCCAAGAAGCTGCACAGTGGTGGCACACGCCTTTAATCCCAGCACTTGGGAGGCAGAGGCAGGCGGATCTCTGTGAGTCCAAGACCAGGCTGGTCTACATGAGCTATTTCCAGGACAGGCTCCAAAGCCACAGAGAAACCCTGTCTCGAAATACCAAAAAAAAAAAAAAAAAAAAAAAAAAAGAATTCTTCCAAGAGACTCGCGGTGATGACTTTCAAGCCAAATGAGGCTTCTTCTGATGCTTGGCTAGATTTCTGCCTTCACTGTATGTAGTATGAAACAATAAGAAAATACTTTAAAAGCAAAAACAAGCCCAAACTAAACCACATGGAAAGAAGAATGCCTTCTTTTTTACTGATGTATGGGCAAGAACAGAGTTAAGTCAATTTTTCTGCAATGGGAAAATCAACTTGACCTAGGAAACCTTCGCACAGGTCCACATTTTATGATGTTAAAGCCACCAGGAAGCATAATAATAATGGGCTGAAAATGTAACTGGCTTCAAACCCTTCCTTTAATCATCCTGTCCGTATGGTTCTGTGGAGTCATTACTGTGTCTTCTCGAGTCTTAGTTTCTCCATCTGGCTGCACAGCAGAACCAACTGGAAGGTTTTGAAAATCACTGTGTCCTCAGCTCCACTTCCAGAGAGCCTGACTGAGCTGGTCTGATGGAGAGCCTGGCTGTCGGTTGGAGTTTCTGCTTCCTGGCCTTTCATTTGGCACTGAGAGCTGAACCCTGGACCTTGCATGTGCTAGACCGGTGCTCTAAGGAGCATCCCTAGAGATTTCCTTAAAAGTGTTCATTTTTATTTTATGTATATAATGGATTTGCTTGCATGTGTCTATGTGCACTACATGCATGCAGTGTCCATGGACGCCCATCTCACGCACAGGCCTTCTTTGTTCAGCTCCAGGCAGAACAGATCTTCACATGGCATTCCCTGATGTCTCTTATCTTAGGTGAGTCCTTTTTTTCCTTTGAAGAATAGAAGCCTTAGAAAAATTGTGGTTTTTTTGGCTGTAACAACTTTTCCTGGAGTGGGCTTGGGGGAGGGAGAAAGAGGGTTGCCTGACAGGACTGCTTTGGTCCTAATAGTGGGAAGGTCTCGAGGCACTGGTTGGAGATTATCAGCTTCCTTAACAAGCTCCCCGTGAAGCACTGCCCAGCTTGACACTGGAGCCTCACAGCCATGATTGTCCAGGGAGCCTTAAAGCCCTGTGAGCTTGCAATGTGTACAAAGGCAGCAGCAGGAGCTAAACATTTTCTTCTCTAACTTCCTCCATGGTTTATCATCAAGTAAAACAGTTACCTTAATCGTCTCAGGGTCCAAGGGTTGAGGCTTTACTCATTTCTAAGGGATGCTTTTCTGGAAAGATTTCTAAGAAAACACTTTGGCAAAGGGGTAAAAAATTGACTATTCAGTGACCATCAGGCTGGGAGGCTCACAACCTTTGGACCACAGATACAGGTCACCTACTTTGGGTGTCATATAGGATTTCTGGGGGACCAGCACATTCTTATTAACTGCAGATACTAAAATTCAGTCACAAACTAGGCTAGAGGTGGACAGATAGGCATATTTTAGTAAAATCATAGACATTTCTATTGATTAGTCTAACTCAGATGCCTCTTGAAAAATCGTGTTTTCTTTTTGGTACGGAGTCTCACTATGTAGCTCAGACTGGCTTCCAGCCTGGTAATTCTTCTCAGCCTTCCAAGAGTTCAGATTGTAGGTTTGCACCACCATGCCCTGCTGAAATTTTGGCTATTTAGTTGTTGGGGTCCTTAGTCTCAAACCAAGACTTTGTATATACTATGTGCTCTACCTCTGAGTCTTGCCTCAGCCTACACATGTATCACATTTTTTTTCCCTCTTGGGGTTGAGAGAAGGGGAGAGTATTGGTGTTTGAACTCAGGGCCTTGTTGATAAGGAAGCGTCCTACTACTGAACCATGTACTTAGCCATTTTTGTATTTTTCGTTTTGAGACAAGGTCCCACTAATTCATCCAGGCTGGCTTTAAACTCACTCTGTAACCGTGAGAGGCCTGGATTTGTGACTCTCCCAAGTAGCTGAGATTATAGGCTTGTGCCACCATGCCTGGCTAGACTGTATAGCTTCTGATGTTCTTAGTTCATAGAATTAACCAAATTGCAGAAGATTGTGTTCGATGAGAATGTGTTAGTATTAAAATTCAGTGTCTATGATTATTCATGATTTGTAGTTTATACCAAAGAGGGGACACTCACATTCTTTGTTCCCAATGATTCCTTTTTTGGGGGTGGCAGGGATAGGATTGAGCCCAGGGTCTTGGGTATACTTAGCTACAACCCTAGCTCCCCAGTATTTGATTTCTTTTCAGTCAAGGTCTTGCTGAATAGGCCTGGTTAGCCTGGCATGAGCTATGTACCTGGGTTGGTGTAGGGGCGTCTGTGTCCAACACCCTCTCTGGCTTCCCCTCGCTTCCTCAGCGCAGACTCTCCCCTTGGTTCAGCATCACTGCTGAGTCATCACTTATTGAAACTTTTGCTACCCTGACTGATAGACCGCTCCTTCATCACACTGGATTTTTTTTTACCCAGTCTCCTAACATCCAGAACCGCAGTGCCCAGATGACCTCAAACTTTTAATCTTCCTGCTTCAGCCTCCAGGGTGGTGGAATTAGAGGAGCGGAACACCACACCCAGCTATCTCTTAAGTAGTTTTATCAATGAAATATTTTGAGGTAATTCATCACACTAGTCTCCAAGAACATCTTCAAGATAAGACCTTGGATATAAATAATACATGACTAGAAGATTCTGAGTGGATTAAAAGACCTCGTATGGCTGGTGTGGCAATGCATGTCTGCAGTTCCAGCACTGGGGACACAGGTTTAGGAATCCAAGGCCATCCTCCAATACGAAGATGGTTAAAGGACAGCTTATACTACATGAGACCTGGTCTCAAAAAACAACCAAACCACCTCCACCTCCTGAAAATACTTTGTTACACAGGCTGCTAAGAACTAAATCCACTACGTAAATGAGTGTTACACCCCTCTCTTGTCACCCATATGAATTACTTATATTCAACTAACATTGTTCTCCAAGATTTTTCCCCTAAAGGAAATTGTTTTTTCTCCTAGTTTCTAGAACAATTGGTGTAAATACAAAGAGTATAGTGTTTATCAGCCTATATTTCTTTAGTAGGATATAACCACTGCCCCTCCCCCGCCCCCACATACACAAATGGAGGGAGAGAGGGCACCCAATATTCAGTATGTCTAGACAGGCTAAATGCAGAGCCTAATGACGTCAACCATCTGAAAAATCCTTCAGGGTTTGAGTATCTGTGAACCGTTGTTTATACTTCCTGTAAACTTTTTTGTTGTTGTTGTTGCTGTTTTGTTTTGATTTGGTTGTGAGAGAGGGTCTCACTGGAACTTATATGTAGCCCATGCTGGCTTTGAGCATGTGGCAATTTACCTGTCACACCTTCCTGGGTGTTGGGATTATAGGAGTGAGTCACCTTGCCAAGTTTTTTAAAAAATTATTTAAAAAATTGAGATTATATTATAATTACCTCACTTCCTCCTTCCCTCTCCTCCTTCCAAACCTTCCCATGTGCCCTTGTTCTTTTTCAAATTCATGGCCTTCTTTCTTTCTCTCTCTCTCTTTCTCTCTTTCTTTCTTTCTTTCTTTCTTTCTTTCTTCCTTTCTTTCTGGGTGGGGGTTGTTTGAGACAGGGTTTCTCTGTTCCTTTGGAGCCTGTCCTGGAGCTCTGTAGACCAAGCTGGCCTTGAACTCATAGAGATCCCCCCTGCCTCTGCCTCCAGTGCTGGGATTGAAGACGTGAGCCACCACCACTCGGCTAAGGCCTCTTTTTTCATTGATTGTTATTACATGCATATAAAGACATAGTTACACACACACACACACACACACACACACACACAATGGATTCATACTGCATGTTTCTTTGCAAAATGAATTTCTTAGGGTTAGTACCAAGAGAAAGATGAGCTACTTAATATGACCCCGTTTCCGAGGGGGGAGAGAGAGAGAGAGAGAGAGAGAGAGAGAGAGAGAGAGAGAGAGAGAGAGAGAGAGAGAGAGAGAGGAGGGACAAGGAGGAAGAAGAGAAAGAAGGAGGAAGGGGAAGAGGGGAGCTGGTAAGATGGCCTAGTGGGTAAGACCCCAAGACTGATGAGCTGAGTTTGATCCCTGGGACCCACATGGTGGAGTGAGAGAACCTTCCCCCACAGGTTGTCCTCCGACTCCACATGCATGCCATGGCCCATGTTCTCCCCACCCCCACATACAAGTAAATGAATAAAAAAAAAGAAAAAGAAAAACAATTCATGAATAGTAGTGGTGTTTCGAATCAATCAAAATTAAGATGTATGAAAATGATACAAGGACACCTGCTATTTGTATGCTAATTTTAAAATGCAAAGAAGTGCTTGTTTAAAAATTGAATTTGTCATGTCTTTGTTTCAACAGCCTTTCTTCTCTCTAGTCTGGTTACTAATTGGAAGAGCTATGTGAACAAGAAGGACAACGGAGAGCAAGCTTTCACTCTTGGGCTGGAAGACAGAAGCATAGATGAAAACCAGCCAGCTCTCAGGCAGGGACGAAAGACATGTAGGTGGGAAGTAAGCTTGGCTTTGTCTCCCTACCCAAAGGGCCTTGCTGGAAGAAAGAGTCTGCAGGGCTTGTTTCTCAAGCCCCTGTGCTAAAGCCCCCTCGACTTTCCCGTCTGGAAAAGCGTAAGGATGCTGACCACGGTTGTGTGGCTAAAAAGGAGCACTTATTTGTTCAGTATTTACTGGTGATAACCATCAAGCTCAGTGCTCAGTGCCTCATGCATGCACTCTGCTAACGCAGCCTCGTCGTCTACCCTGAGTTTAGTTGTATAAGTAGAAAATTAGTCCTAACACATCATTTCTAAAGCTACTTAGCTAAATGAAAAAGTTTTCTATCACTTTGTATTTGCCATGGTCAGCTGAGGCCCAGTGGCAGGAAGTGCCAGACTCCTGTCTCTCTGTTACCTACCTTCCCAAATGCTTTGTTTGAGATAGGGTTTCACTATGCAGTTCTGCATCTTCAGATGTGCTTGCTATGTAGCCCCAAAGGGAACTCAAACTCAGGGCAATCCTCCTGTCTCAGCCTACTCAATGTTGGGATTACAGGTGTGCACAGGGATGCCTGGCTTTTCTCTACTGCTACTGGTTCAGGATATTTTATTTTTGCTGTAATTAAAAAAGAACTTTCCTGTTTACACTGACTTACCTTTGAAGATGAGATATTTTTCACAGTTAGCATCATGTTGACAGGATGTACAATTTCTTCCTTTTATTTTTCGAGACAGAGTTTCTCTGTATTGTTTTGGAAAGATGTATAATTTCCAAAGCATATAAGCAAAATTCTATACCTTTTATGGTCTGCCATACACATGTTGTCTTGCACTACATCCAGACATACTAGGTCATTTAAGAATGTATATGTTACTAAAGATTTTCTATAATAATAGGGTACATTATAATCAGTAGGTAGAATTTTTACATTTTCAGTGGAAAAATTAAGATTTTTGAAAAACTTGTCCTATCTGTCACTTGGATTCTGATGATCTTATAATACTTAAATGCTTATTTTGGTGGTAATATTAACAAGTAAGATTTGAAAACGATCCTAGTATGAAGTATACTAACAAGGAAAAGAACTGAGTAACACCAGGGTAAGAGAGTTGCCTGCTCACTTGGTTTCTCACAGGACCTTCCACTCCTCTTACGGGAGGCACTGAACCCATAGGGCCTTCTATCCTAGAGCGTCTCCATGGCTGTAGACAGGGTGAGCTCAGCAAGCTTGGATCTAGACAGCAGCTTGCACCAAGCTCTCAACTAATCCAGGATGGGAGCTGTTGGGTAAGTGCTTGTGGATGGACAAAGCTTAAGGCATCCTCTATCTCCCTTAGAATGAGGGCTACCTTCCCTCCCTTATCTCATGTGATCTCATCCCTCATGCCTGGGAATTATTTCTGATATTAATTACATACCCCAGTCTTTTGATCACAGATCTGTTTTCAGAGAAAGTATAAGTTTAGATACTCTGTAGCTGTTCTTATTGGGCTTAAATTCCAGGTCTGCAACTATCTAAATGTATAATCTTGGAGAAAAATCGCCTAAACTCTCTGAGCTTAGGTTCCTTATCTATAAAATAGGAGTAATCATGATACCCACTTCATAGCAATGCTATGAAGAGTAAGTTTGATATACTATTGTGCCTGCCTAACACATAGCGGTAGGTACTCCATAAATGGGAGTTATGACTGTGTTTGCAAGCTTTCTTTCTTTCTCTCTTTCTTCCTTCCTTCCTTCCTTTAAAATCTTTAAAGTCTTCATCCTTGTGCCATCATTTTTGTTTGTTTGCTTGTTTTGTTCCTTTGTTTTGAGATAGGGTTTCTCTGTGCAGCCCTGGCTATCCTGGAACTGACTCTATAGACCAAGCTGGCTACCAACTCAGGATCCACCTGCCCCTGCCTCCACAGTGCTGGGATTAAAGGTGTGTGTCACTGCCACTTGGCTGTGCCACCATCTTTCAAGTGCTGGGATCATAGGTTCATACCACTACATCCAGTACCAACTGAAAAAAATTAATATATAAACTTTTAATGTCATGTGCATTTAGCAAGTATTTTCTTAGTCTTATCATTCAGTGATATTTATTGCCTTATAATTTCTGCTGGTTCTGTTTCATTTTAAGATGAAGTTTAGTTATGTTGTCCAGGCTGGCCTCAAACCCCTAGGCTCAAGTGAACTTCATATCTTGTTTTCAAAGTAGCTGGACCGATGTTTGTGCCTCATCACATCTGGCTGCTTCTTCCTCCTCCTCTTTCTACCTTTTCTTTGCCTTCTAATTTAGAGAGGGTTTTATATAACCTGTGTCTTTGGAATCGTTATGTACCCAGGATGACTTTAAACTTTTGATCTTCTTGCTTCCCTCTACCTCCCAAATGCTGCCACACCCTACTTTCCAACTGATTTTTTATATAAACAAGTCCAGCAATATTTTCCATTCTGGATGAGAAGTTCATACTTTCCCCAGGCAGGCTCTACTAGCTTACGATCATAAAGTCTTTCCTTGGGCAATAAGCTACCAACAAGATTTGCTGATTGAATACTAGTTAGCTCAAATTTTGCATGATTTCTGATAAAAGTTTTAGTTTAGGGTTAATGAGATGCCTCATCTGGTAGCCCAAGCCTGGAGGTTCAAGTTAGCTCTGTGGAACCCATGTAAAGATGAAAGGAGAGAACCAACTCCACAGTACACATGCCATGGAATGTGTTCCCTGAGTGTTGGGACCTCTAGCCTCCCAACACCGTTCACACACAGGATAACGATAAATGACATTTTAAAAGAAAATATTTTAGCTTGTACCTGACACCATAATGCATGTCCAACAAATGCTCATATTCAAAATGAAGAACGAGAAGAAGGTGTGAAGTTGGGCCTGGTGATGCAGGTCTGCAATTCTAGCCACTCAGAAAGCCTAGAGAGGGGCATCACCAGTTCCAAGCCTTGTCTGGACTACTGAGTAAGTTCAGATCAAACCTGGACAACTGACCTAAGACCTTGTCTTGAAAAAAAAATAGAGCCAGTAGGATGGGTCAGCAGAAAAGGGCATTTGCTGCCAACGATGGTGACTGAAGTTTGATCCATGGAACTTACAAGGTGGAGGGAGGGAACCAACTCATGAAAACTGTACTCTGATCTCCACAAGTGCATGTGAACCATTGCATTCACACACACACACACACACACACACACACACACAGAGAGAGAGAGAGAGACAATATATATCAAGGGTATAGCTAGGTAGGAGGGTGGTAGAATGCTTGTCTGGCATGTTTGGGGTTTTAGAATCAATCCTTAGCACTGCGTAAGAGATAGAGCAAGACCTCAATTGATGTTATGCTAAACGAGGGAATATAGAAGACTTGAAACATTTTTTTAATCTCCAGTCTTCACACCATCTTGTAGTGATGACAAGGAAGGACTCAAAACTAAAACTAAAACTAAATAACAACACAAACACAACAGCCGATAATCCTATGATGATGGAGTGTGTCAACAAGACAAGAGTCAACTCAGCAAGTGTGTGTATGTTCACGTATGTGCATCTGTGTGCATGTGTGTGGGGAGGCTAGAAGTCATGAATGAGATGTCATTCATCTGGTGCTGGCCACCTTGCTTTTTTGAGGCAAGGCTTTTCACTGGTCTAGGTCTGATTGGCTTGTATTATGACCCAGGGATCATCATCTCTGTCACTGGGATTATAAGTGTGCACTACCATGACAATTCTAAAATATGGGCTCTGGGGATTCAACTCAAATCCTACCAAATGAGCCCTAAACCTGGAACATTTGGAGTAGTGAAAAAAAAATGTAGTACTGGCTGGTCGGTGGTGGCTCACACATTTATCCCCAGCACTCTGGAGGCAGAGGCATGCAGATCTCAGTGAGTTCAAGACCAGCCTGGTCTACAAAGTGAGTTCTATAACTGTTACATATAGAAATCCTGTTTTGAAAAACCAAAAACCCATAAAAAAGAAGTAGATTGGATTATAGACCATAATACAAACTAAACAGCCAAGATTATATTAATAAAATAAGTGACTGGATAAAGAGGAGCAAACTAACAAATCTATCTTTTAAGGATATGGAGCAGCATGGTAACACAGTATGTAAATGGACTTCCTTCCAAAGACTATGGAATGTATTGGGCATGGTGGCACATCCTTGTAATTCTAGCACTTGACAAGTAAAAGACAATGGAGGATTGGGAGTTCAAGCTCATTTTTGTTTAAGTAGCAGGTTTGAGGCCAGCCTAGGCTAAGTAAAACTCTATCTCAAAAAACAAAACACAAGCCTGTCACGGTGGCACCTGCCTTTAATCTCAGCACTCTCGAGGCAGAGGCAGGAGGATTTCTAAGTTCGAAGCCCGTCTGTACAGAGCAAGTTCTAGGACAGTCAGGGCCACGCAGGGAAATCCTATCTCAGGAAAAGAAATAAGACAAAAACAAGCAGCAAATGTGGAGAATGTAAAGGGAGGGAAGAGAGTAACTCCAGCAGAGAGGCCAGACAATCCCTGCTTTGGCCAAGCGACCAAGGTTAGCAGCAACTTGACTGACCAAAGGTCATGCTGATGCAGTATATTCCTGATTCAAGGGGAAAAGAAAGGCGTTGTACCTGGAGGGGTGGGGGAGGCTTGCCCTCCACAGGACACAGTGTAGGCATGAGAAAAACAACAGCCTAATCCCACTCCAGGGACATTATACAAAATACCTGACCTATACACCTCAAAACTGTCCTGGTCATCAAAAACAAGGAATGTTTGAGAAACCGTCAAAACAAGAGGGGCCTGAGCAAACATGACTAGATGTGATATGGCCTCTTGGTGGAGATTGGGAAAAGAAAAAGGAAACTAAGCAAAACTGCTCAAAGTGTGGACTGTAGTTAATAACACTTAATAATAATTTTGATGAATGAACCATAGTCATATAAGATGTTCATGCTGGGCTAAGCTGGGTGTAGGATACCAGGATGTTGTCTGTATTTTGTTCTCAATAAGTCAATTCCATATTTTAAAAGTTTAGTTAGCCCACATAATGGTGCACACCTGTGATTCCAGCACCTGGACTGTGGAGAAAGAAGACCAGAAGTTCAGTCCTTTTATTGCAAAGGAGAATCTGCGTGGTGGTGTTTGCTGTGACAGGGCATAGAATGGAGACGGTTCTAGAACAGGTGGAGCTTCCATGACAAAGCAGGAAACATTTGCACTGGAACTTAAGAGGAGCAGGGGATATCAACTAGCTGCCTGGAGAGGAGAAGAGAGAGAAGTGCTTTCCTTGTTCAGTTTTTGTCTAATAACATTAATGTGTGAGTAAAGATTTGTTGACTCCATTTTGAAACTTTTTTTTTCTTTTTTTTTGGCATGGCCAATCCGCTGTTGTTGTTTATTTCCTTGTGCTGAGATGATACAGGTCTGTCTGTGTCACCACACTGTCTAGAGAATGCTGGAAGGAGACTGCAACAAATCAGATTCCTGTGGAGGAAGTGATGTCTTCCCAGGTGAAGGGAACGTGTAACAGCCTCTCGAGTCTTCTCTCGGGCATTGAGAGTCTTGAGAAGCACTTCTTTCCAGGGGAGGGGTGTGTGCAGTCAGCGCTCTTCGGGCAGGTCAAACTCTCAAAGTAAGTAGACTGAGGAGAAAGAACGTTTTCATTTCTGGTTAGACGACGTTCTGCAGCTCTGTTGACAATTTCCAAAGCCTCCTGCCAGCTGTGGGCAAGGCTGGTGGGTCCCTGGACATTTCCCAACTCATTGTGCTGGGATCTATGGTTACCCATTTGACAGTGGCCCAGACCCAACCCATCCTTAGAAGTCACTTGGGTGCCTGCTTCTTGTCCTTTACACAAACACCAATCTTGCATGAGTCCAAGATTCTGCCTGTCTTGCTGGTCTGGACCTCATGCCAGACTCCAGTTGTGGGGACTAGAAGTACATGCTTATCTATTTCTTTGGCATGGACTTTGATTTTTTTTCAGGTTTGTGTTTGTTTTGCTTTGCTTCTAGAACTCACTATCTAGTCCAAGCTGTTCCATCAGCAACAATCTTACTGCCTTAGCCATAGTAAGTGCTGGGGTTATAGGCGTGCGATACCATGATGGACTTGTCCTTGGGCTACAGAATTTCAGTCCTTTGCCCAGTGCTTTTTCTAGTTATTGGAAAGATGAAGGCTAAGGATGGCTCAGCAATGTAGTACTTGTCCAGTGAGGGAGAGGTCCTAGGTTCAAAGCCGGTTAAAAAAAAATAAAACAACATTCAAGGAAAGATAGTAGTAGGAAGGGTCTTAAAATGTAGTCTATGATTTATATATTTTTCTTTTGCTACAGTTTTGCTTTTTTGTGTGTGTTTGCATGCTGTATCCTCTCTCTCTCTCTCTCTCTCTCTCTCTCTCTCTCTCTCTCTCTCTCTCTGTGTGTGTGTGTGTGTGTGTGTGTGTGTAGTGCCTGGGCCTTGTGTATGTCCTGATTCTCTTTTAATAAATGTGAAGATAGGGAGATAATGCCACACATTTGTTATGGCAGTCATTGCTGCTCGCCCTTCAGTCTTCATCGTTTGTGTTCTGGAAGAAATTCCTATGCTATAAGTTGCCTTGAATTCGTGTTCATGATCATTTTCTTCTACCTCAGGAATTTCTTAATACCACTATCAATTTTTCCTCCCCTCTCCTTCCCTTTTTTCTAACTATTCAACTATTCCTTCCCAACTTAATTTTTTTTTGAGATAGAGCCTTACTTTGTAGTGTAGCCTGTAGCTCAAACAACTAAAAACATTTATAAATAAAAACGTTAGGTGTATGAGTATTTTGCTTGAATCTATGTCTGTACATCGAGTACAGGCCAGATGTCCACTTAGGCCAGAAAAGTGACTCAGATTATCTGGAGCTGGAGTTACAGTAGCTGCGAGCCACCTTGTGGGTGCTGGAGATCAAACCCTAGTCCTCTGGAAGGGCAGCCAGTGTTTTGACCACTAAGCCATTTCTCCGGCACCTGTGATTTTATTCTTGATAAAAACTACTGAAATGCAGCTCAATTGTTTTGTTACCAAAGACTTTGTTTCTTTGTTTTGGAGTCTCACTATGCAGCCCAAGCTCACCCCAAACTCATAGCAATTCTCCTACCTTAATTCCTAAGGTGCTGCGATTACAGGAATGCCAAATTACTTCCAACCTGTAAAGAGTTGATCTTCTACTTCAGAGTTTCTTGGTCGCATACTGTTTAGGGACAAATAGGTATTTACTGTGTGCACTGTCCTGTCCATTGTAAAATTTTTGTCAGAACCCTTGGCCTCTCCTCACTAGATGACAGGAGAATCCCCCAGTTGTGACAACCACAAATGTCTCTACTAATTGTCCCCAGGGACAGTGGAGAAGAACCGCGGAGCTTTGCTGCATATTGAGAAGTTAACTGTAGGCCTGGAGAGGTTGCTAAGGAGCAATGAACACTCTGAAACACTTGATGCTTCGCCTGGTACTTAAGATCTCAAGATCCTTTTAGCACAAGGTGGAGCCTCTAAGTTCAGTCCACTATTTAGACTATGATTTGGGTGAAATGCCAGAAGCCAAATGAAGTGTATTTCCTGCTTAATTTCATTCATTCACTTTCTAAATATTTATTGAAGGATTGTTATGTATCAAGTCTTATACTAGGTTCTGGGGACCTGGTGGTGAAGAGAGACCTAGGTTGTTGATTTTTTTTCTTTTATTGGGGGGTGGGAAGGCTTGGCTGAATTCTGTTGCATGTCTCTAAATCTTTGAACATGGAAGAAGACTAGATTTTCATGTGACTATGACTTTGAGGTAATTGTCCCCATTAATTTCTCTTCAAGGATCATGTATGTATCTGATGCTATGTAGTTTTTTTCCCTAAGTCTGGATAGTCTTTATTACAGAACTTGGTACAACCACAGTTTCTGAAATAGAAGAAAGATTGGGACGGCTGGAATCTTGTTGGTCTTCTGTCCCTCAAGACTCATTATCTAGTTTGATATTTTTCACTGACTCTTGCCTGCAGGTTGCTCCCCAGAGAGGAATTTAAAAGCTAGGACGTTGAACATTTTGACCCTACTGCTGTGTTTCTTTCCATCACTCTGCATTGTGAAATCTCCCTGAACAGGTGCTTGTGGTACTGGCTGAGTCAGAACATGTGATCTTGTCTCAGTCCTGGCCTGGAGACTCACAGGAGTTCCTGTGACCCTATCATTAAATATTAAATTGTACTTTGGGGGTCATTCTAATTTTTCTTAACTTTTTTTTTCCTGTCAGTGAGATTTGTTAGAGCACTGATTTTCTTAATATTTGCTAAGACTTTAAAAAAATTGTTATTGCTGTTTGGTCCTTGTGTTTTGGAGATAGGGTTTCTCTGTGTAGCTCTGGCTTTCCTGGAACTCACTGTAGACCAGGCTGGCTTTGAACTCACAGAGATCTGCCTGCTTCTGCCTCCCAATACTGGAATTAAAGGCGTGCGCCACCACTGCCAGGCATTCTTTTATTTCTTAAGTCAGGATCTTGACATGCAATGCTGGCCTGGCACGTATATGTATTTGAGCTGGCTGGGCTCAATTTTAATTAGTCTTTTGCATGTGTTTCCCAAGAGCTGTGGTCACAGGCCCATTGCATCATATTTGATCTGCTCTGATATCTTTTTGGACTTCACTTTCTTTTCTGGTGTTGGGGATGGCACCCAGGGCTTCGGCTATGCTGAGTCTTCTGTGTGCCGCTCAGTCACACTTCCATCCCTGTTGTCCATTTTGGTAGGTTTTGTCTGGCTTTGTTTTGCAGGAGGCACATCTTTCCTCGAGCTTACCAACTTCTCACTCTGTTGTAAAGGGACACCAGGTTAGGAGACCTGCCAGGAAGTTAGTCAACTCTGAAAACCACTGGGTCTGTGCAAGGTCTCTTAATTTTGCCTACATCGTTGGGGAAGCAGGTAGTAGTTTAAAAAATATATCTATTTAAATTAAAATATAATTATTTCTCCCTTCCTTTTCCTTCCTGCAAGCCCTTCCATGCATCATCACTTCCTGGCTCCCTTTCAAATTAATGGTTTCTTTTTCTTGTTTCTCATTACATCTACCCACAAGTGCATGAATACTTATATATACATACATGTGTCTTTAGTCTCTTTAGCGTTGCTCTTATGTATATGATTTTAGGGATGACAATTTGGAATTGGATAACCAATTGGGGGGGTCTCATCCCCAGGGATGACCAATTCTCCCCCTTTCAGAAGTCTTTAGTTGCCTGTAGTCTATGGATAAGGGCCTGTGACATTGCTCCCTTCCTTTTTGGTACTGTTGAGGTGTCATGGGTGTCCTTTCCCTGTCGTTTCTAGAAGATAAGACTCCACAGCAGGCGTCCTACTCCTCTGACTCTTATAATCTTTTCACCCCTCCCTCAGAGTCTGTGTGGCTGGACTGCTGTGTGAGCTGTACAGTGAGGACAACATGGGTACATGAGGCTCTGCCTCAAAATCAAAAGGAAGTAATTAAAAAAATAGGTTCTAGATAGATGGTAAAGGTAGGTGCCTGCCACAAAACTTGGCAGCCCAAATTTGGTCCACAGAACCCCCATGGTGGAAGGAGAGAACCCACTCCACAAATTGTCCTCTGACTTATACACGTGGCCTGTGACATGTGCAAGTGTCCCTCCCCCAACAAACAAACAAATAAATATATGTATGACATTTGTTGTTGTTTTTAAAAAGTTCTTCCCTGAATGGAAAACAGGTAGGAAGGAAAGTAAGGAAGTGATTGTAAGGTTCTTGCTATAATGCAGATGAGAGGTTGATGACTATTACAAGAATATTGAGGAAGTGGGTTTGGTTGAAGAAGCGAATAGAACTGTGTTTCGCAGAGTTCGTGATCTGCTGCATTTGGATGTGAGAAGCAGGAGGATTCAAGAATGTCTTACATTTCTGGCTTGACCTGGAGTGGATGGTGATGCACCTTACTGAAGTCCTGGAGCTTATGGTTCAGGCAGAATCCCTCAGGATTTAAATTGGAGCTGTCCAGTGAGCAAGTGTGTCCATGGCACTCAGGAGGAAATTCAGGGTTGGATTATTATCAACGGAAGATGAATTTTACCCAAGGAGACTGTACAACCTCGTGACCACAGCAGGGAGCACAACATTGGCTCATGGTAGAAACAAATACTTGGAGATATTTCTAATAATTTGGTATTAAGATGAGTGAGTAGGACAATATAGATAACAAAAAATGTTTATCAAGAGAGCCAGTTGGCATAAATGAACTCAGTAAAGTTCACTTT